AACATCGAGACGGAAATCAGGTCTGTGGAAAGGCGCCCCAGAAATTATTTAGGGCAAACCACACGAGGGGCTGTGAGTAGAATCACAGAATCATAGAATCGTTTGAGATGGAAGGGACATCTAAAGGCCATCTGGTCCAACTCTCTGCAACGAACAGGGGCACCCACAGCTCCATTAAATGCACAGAGCCCAAACAGCCTGACCTGGAGTGTCTCCAGGGATGGGGAACCACCACCACTCTGGAGCAGAGTAGGCTTCATTAAAAAAAGTCTGTAAGGAAGCAGAAAATGCCTTCATTAAAACATCAGCATTCAAGAGGTCAGTCACAGCAAAGCCAGTTTGGGACTTCACAGCAAAGCCAGTTTGGGACTGATGGCTCTTCCCAGATTTGCTTCTTGCAGGTGCTCAAGGGAGGGAGGGGGAGGATGCTTAGGTTTGTTCAAGATGGCTGCTTCAAGGAACCAACCAAACCCACATGTGATGGTCTGACTCAGTCCAGCTCCCCTGGATACACCAAGATCAAAGTCGCTTCAGATGCAATTAGGGTGAATTTTGGCAATTTTGACTGATACTTGTTTTAATATCCCTCTTCTAGTAGAGCAAAGCTGCCTTAGAGCTCCTGACACATTTCAGACATCATCCCTTTTCCGTAGAGTTTGTCCCAAAATACACCCAAATCTCAGAGAACTGGGGGGAAATCTCTTTGTTTTCTTTGTTTTCTGGGGTTTGTTTGATTTTATTTTTTTGTTTGTTTCCACCAATCTTGGGGACAAGGCTGCAGTAAACAACCTCTGTCCCAGCACAGTTATTTACAGTCCAGCTCCCTACATAACAGGCAGGTATTTGGGCAGGAGGCCTGTCAAAGCCATCTCTGCATTTTTCAGGTTTCTGGGGTCACCCAGCATCCTTGGACTGTGGGTTCTTTATGTGCAGAGCATCCCAAGACCTTGGCTCACTCCATCCTTGAGAGGACCAGAGAGGCTTGAGAAGGAATAAGCAGGACAAGTGTGCATTTTGTGTTCATCAGTGCTGAGCTCAGCCCTGGGCTCTGTGTCAGGGCTATCTGCAATAACATTCACAGTTTTTCTGGCTCCTGTTACAAACACATTCATGCCATGCACTGCACTATACAGGAAAATCAGTCTCCTCTTCTTAGGACAGCAGTAGCCCAGACCTACTGACTTAACCTTTGAAGCACCTTGAGAAGAAAGCACCCAAGACTTGTCCAGAATGAATCCTGGATCCAGCTGACCCTTTAGCTACCAAAAAACCATCAGTGCCTAAACACACCCGTGAATTTGGCTGAATATTGTTCTTTATCCCAATGGGACCCAAAGAGATCAATTGGTGTATGGTCTGGCTTCACCCCTGCAGATGAAGACCTAAGATGAGACTCTTTTTTTCCCCTCCCTATGCACTGAATAGAAAGAGAAAGGCATCTCCAGGTAGTTAGTCAAGGCCATGTTTCTCTGTATCTCCTTTGACTGGTAGGGCTGAAAACAGTTCAGCCTCTATTCTCTGAGAGATCTGAGATTTTTTGCAGGGAAGAACACAAATATTCTTTATTAGATTTCTTCCACCATTAAAGTTCTTCTATCCTTTGTTACCTCAGCTCTATGGCATGGTAACCCCACTCTACGACTGTCACTGTGTCCTGAGGTTTTCTTCTGAACTTTGTCTCTTCTGAATAACACAGAAAAACTCACTCTGGTTTTGTGCCAGAGCTTTTGCTCTGAGTTTATAACGGCAAGGTGCATTCACACTGCCTTCTCTTTCCTTTCTTTTGAAGGTAAACATATAAATCAAGGGAGGAGCACTTAGTGCTGGGCACTGGCTTGCTTGAATCGTTTGTGAATCATGTACTTCAACCGATGGGGGCTTTGCAACAAGACACAATGTTCCTTGTCCTTTTGGGTTTTGGATATTGCCAAATCTTATGCTGAGCACATCAAGGAGTTCAAGCATACTGCAGAGAAGGCCGAGAAATGATGGACCTGGCTGCGAAAGATCTACATGGGCAAAAGCTATCTGATGTTTTAGACACTCTTTCATGCATGAGACAGTGATAGAAAATGTCTTTAATAGCAGTGAAAACCAGAAAGGTCCAAAATGGTAATTATGCACAGAAATATGGCAAGCGTAATTCAATCAGTGGAACAACTTCACTAAGGAAATAGATTCTCCATCTAAGAAGATTTATCCTGCAGATGAAAGAGGGTGTAATAATCTCCCGTCACTCCCATCCAGTCAGCACCACATGGCATGGCATATGGTCCTTGTTGTATGACTGGAGACCAGTTGCAGAATGATTCAGTTGCTATCCGAAACGTCGCCTTGCTTACATTATCAAAATCAGGACCAGATGCTTTTTTCAATATATACTGTGGCCCAGCTCCAAGATGTAGAGTTTAAAATGGTTAAAAGGTTGGAAGGGAGCTCCTAGAGGAGGACTCTGATCAACCTCCTGTCAGAAGCAGGTTTGGGTCTGAGATCAGACCAGATTGCTCACTGTGTTGCACAGTTGGGCCAAGATGACCTCCAGGAATGGCTGAATCTTGAAAACCTCCATAAACCAGGCAGCTTCTCTTGGCAACCTGTCTCAGTGTTTGACTGATATATAGAAAACTGTAGGGTGAAACAAGTCTTCTAATTTGGTAGACACCTTCATGGGCAGCAGGGCAGCTTCCTAGGCAGGAGGGCAGGCTTCTCATTAGTCCCACAGTGTTTGTTAGCAGGTTATCTGCTGCTTGTATCTTAAATTAAATTCTCATATTCCTCCGTTACTCCAATAGCGTGGCAGATTCACCACTGCTAAAAACACCACCTGTATTTCCAAGTTGAGCAATTACTGGGAGAATTAATTTCTTTAATTACAGAGAATGTTGTAACAAGCCTCCAAGAACATAATACCTGTATCAGGTCCGACAAAGAGTCCGAGTCTAAAGGAGGGAGATACAGTTGATAAAGTACTGCTTCTACTGCTTCTTGCTTGGCCTAATTATTTTAACGATGTGGGAAACAAGAAGAAATAAAGTAGCAAATCTGGAGTGGAAACGAGCGTTAGCAGGCAGTCAGTTGGCAGTTCATTCACCTTGGGGGCAGCTACTCCATCAAATTCAGAGATTAGTACAAGCCATATCCTTTGCAGATTTACTCTCAGTCACCCATCACTCTAAAACCTTATTTGCGCTCAGTTCTGCAATAAGAGGTTAAGGAAACTCAATCATTTGTGTCAGAGCTTCTTTCAAAGACATTTGTGGTTCTGGACAATATTATTATTACCTACATCTGTCTCATATCCCTGAACAGGAGGCACAGCTTGGTGTAAAATACCTTAAATGTTATTGCACCTATAAAAATGCTGTACTGATTGCAGTGTGATGTACAGCCACTTGTATTCAGTGAAATATCATGTGCTGTCGTAGTGCAGCCAGAGAACAAGATTTACACAGCACTCATCAAAGGGAGGAGCAGTACACTGGAACAGATCGTGTGAGTCCAGTTCTTAGATATGGATAACATGCTGCAGAGATGCAGGCTGAACTCACTGGCTACAGAAGTGGGGTGAGACCCATGTTTCTTTGCTCAGGTTGGGACAGGCATACGAAATCCCCTTAAAGTAGAAGGGAAAGGAACCAGCAGGTGCATGATTCAGATGGCAGATCTTGGATATCCACCTCAGGTGCAATGTGTTGTACACTAATCCCCACTGGTATATCAGCAAGGAGAGCATGGAGTGACTGGTTCAGAGGCTGATATCTATCACGTAGACACTGTTTGGTGAGATGAATTCAGCCTGGGATCCAGCAGGAATCCAAAGAGCCTTTGAGGCAGCAATTCATTCAAAACTAAATGCTAGAGATATACAAACACAAAGTGTCCCACATTCCTTTTATTTTTTTTTCCCTGCAAGGAACTCCTCAAAATCATACCAGTGTTCAACTCACGAGTCTCAGACCAGCAGTTACTACAGCCAGTCCTATTCTCCCAAACTCCTGCCAGCATTGCCTTGCTGGCACGACGTGGAAAGAAGTACACCCCAAATTGGCCCACCATCATTGGGAATGCAATGGCACTGGCTCACTTTGTCTTCTCAGAAATCACAGAATCATGCAATGGTTTAGTTTGGAAGAGATCTCCAGAGCTCATCTGACCCAGTGAAGGTGATACAGCATTGCTGACATCTGGTTTTGGTTGTTTGTTTTATTTGACTGGGAGATTGTTGGCAGAATGGAGGACAATGGGTCCAGTTTTGCAGCTGAGAACCAGTATGAAAACCACTTTTGTTTTGAATTGACAGATTGTAGCCTGAGGTTTAAGTAACCATCTATCTATATAAAGGAGACAATTGTTAGAAACTACAGAAGAATCCACATCCATCCCTCTGTTCTGCAGCATACTGATAGGAACACAGAATCATTAAGGTTGGAAGAGACCACAAAGATCCAAAAGTCAACCACGAACCCATCTCTACCATACCAACTAACCACATTCCTCAGTGCAAGATCTATCCTGGAGTCACTTCATAAAAACCATCCTGAGAAACACAAAAATAATAGCATTGTTATAAGAGCTGGTGGTGGTGAAGATGCAGAGAGGAAAGACATAAAATCAGCTTAAATATCACAAATTCTGTTTGGTTCAAGGTAGTATTGCATAGCTCTACTTTCAGCTGTTTTATCAGTGCAAAGTCACAAAGCCAGGAATCATAGATTCATAGAATCATTTGAGTTGGAAGGGATCTTTAATGGCCATCTCCCCTGCAATGAGCAGGGACACCCACAGCTCCATCAGGTGCTCAGAGCCCCATCTACCTTCACCTTGAATGTCTCCATGGATGGGGCATCCACCACCTCTCTGGGCAGACCTCAGGTGGTCCAGATCAATTTTTTCTCTCCTCAAGACCACTCATCCAGCCCCACTCCTTCCTCCAAAATCCACAAGCTGCCAGGAAAAGGAAGCTGCAAGCAAGACTTGCAATGAAAAGCACCATAAAGGACTGATGCCCAAAGGCTCAGAGCTTTATTATTAGGGATAGATGTAACATTTGACCCATCTAGCACAACCATGCTCACAAATGCCCCTTTTCATCCTGGCTTGGAAAGCCTTGCTAGAACCAGTCTATCTCCTCAGGGCCAGGACAGGCATCAAGCATCGGTATGAAGCACAAAGGTTTGCCAAGGCATGTGGGATTTGTGGGGAGCAGGCAGTGGAAAAGGAGATGAGAAAGCTTTGCGCAAGAGGAAGAAGAATGTCATTAAGAAATAAAGGGCCACCAATGGGAGCAGAGGGGAATGTTTAAAAAAAAAAAAAAAAGGAAGGGAAAAATAATCAAAAGGCCTAAACATCCCCAGTTTGGTTGAGAAACTCAGCATAAAGGCGGCCTTTTTGGGAAAGAAAGACAAAGCGCTACCTCTTCTGGAATTCAGGGATACAGACGTCTCTTTTTGGGAATTGTTTACACCTGGACACCAGGGAGTGGATTGAACAGCCAAAAAAGACTGAGGTAACTTTGAAAAAGCCTGTGTTGGGACTGTGGGTTTTGTTTTATATTATTTGTTTATTTAATTTTTTTTTAATTTTTTTTTTTTTTTTTTAAATGAAGCAACTAGTGTTTGAAGGGATTGAGCTTGGTGGGATCAAGGTACATTTTTAGGTTAGTGGTAGAGCTATTTATCATTTTTCAGACAAATTTGATTACCCTGATGGGAATTCGTGTCTTCGGGGAAAGCTGCCCAGTTGTCATATTAATCATTGCTTTTAGTGTTTTCATTAGGGTTTTGGTTTTTGGTTTAGTATGGGATATTCATTTTTTTTCCCCCTTTTAATTTAGCTTTCAGTTGCCCTGGGGCTTTGGCCTGGTAACCTCTGCAGAGTGTTTTTCCTTCGGTCCCCTTCCAACCTCTGAGTTTTATTACTGCTGCTGCTGAAGATCTGCTGCTCCTTCCACTGATGGGGAACTGGTGTTCAAGGGATTCTTTCTTGGATGAAGAAGGGAAGGAATCTCAGAGGAAAAATGAACATTTACTGTTTCAACTATGGTGTATGTCACATTGATGTTCTTCCATAGGCCTCCATAGGACGCCACTGCTGGCATCTTCTATTGTGGTAACACCTCAATATATTCCAGGAGTGCCCTGTGCTTGGTAAGAGAAATCTGTGCATTTCTTGCTCAGAGAAGTTGTTCAGTTTCCTCTGATGGAAAAGGAAATCGTTGTCTTGGTGAAGACCACAGATCACTAAAAGGGGTCAAGATATTCCAGTCTGAACTCATGGACATTGAAAGTCTACACCCAGGGACTCCTCCATCCAACACCAAACCCTCCTGGTGAAGCTACTCCATCTGTGGGGAGGTGTGCACTGGGATATTATCTATTATCCATCCCTAAGTGTCAGATATGCCTTTCCTACCCATGCTGCGGTGCAGCCAGGAGGTGTCCGTCCTGCTGAAGACTTGCTGTGTCCTGTTGTTGTTGAAAGGTCACACTCTGCTCCAGCCCACGGAATTGGGTCATCCTCAGGTGACCCAAACCACTCACATCAGCAAGACGCATTCTCCCAAGCAAACTGAGGCAGCTGCAGGAAAGTCATCCCAGCCTCCGTGTTAGGTGATTCATCCCAGATACTCAAGCACCACGTGAGGGTGAAATGAATCCATGGAGGATCCTGTCTCTCTTTGACCAGAATCTTGTGAGTGTCCAGAACTACCTTGGAAATTATATCTGTATTTTAGACGGTGGAAGAAGGACAAAATCCCAAGTTAAATGAATTATGAGACAACGGTGTGTCACTATAGAAGTGAGAGCTGAGCAGTGAGGAGGTTTAAGATAACAGATTTACAGCCAGAGCAGCAGTTTCATTGAAATCTGGGAATGCTAGGAAACACCACTGAGAAGTGCTGAATTTCATTTCAGCGCCATTCATTCAGTCCCATTTCATTTCAGTGATGTTTAAATAATCCTTTTTGGTAAACAAAATGCATCTATCCGCTGTATTATTTTGATTCATTCAGATTTGACTTGTGTTTTACAGGCTGCTGCTTCCGAAGCCATTTGACGTTTCTCACATTATATTTCACTTTATGACAAACTGTGATGTCGTGGCGTTTTCAAAATAAAAGCACTCTGTGTCACCAAAATGAAGCAATTCACCAGTCTCGTAACAGACCAGGCCAGCATTATCAAAATGAAATACTGAGACAGGCTGTGAGATCAGCATTTTGTAATTTCTTTCCTGCAAAAAAGAAAGTTCTTCTTTGAACAGAATCAGTGATAAAAATGTTTAAATACCCAATAAATACAAAATTCTCGCTGGGAGCTACTAAATAACTAGTGGCAATTTAAGGGAATGTGGGGCAATTCTCAATAGCACAGAGGAGGAGGAAAAAAGGTAAGAAAACCAGCAAATGGTTTCAATTCCTATTAATACCCAAATTCAGGAGATATGTAAGAAGTGCTGCAGTCAGTAAAGGTTGATCCCTCTCCTGACTGCACGTTTAATGAGTTGGCAGTTGGACTAGATGATCATAGTGGTCTTTTCCAACCACAGTGATTCCATGATGTTATATTTCTAAGGACTCCAAAAGGCCCATAAACATCACTCTCAATGAATCAAAATACCAAGCTGGAGCATTTAGATTGGGCCATGCCAGACTATAGATCCCTGTGCTGGGAGTCCCCATGCTGGCAGGAATTCTGTCTCCTTTCTCTTCCCACCACACAGCACCACATGGAGGGCAGATCCAGACTCAGCACCGGGTGAAGAGCTGGGGGGAGGCAGCAGCTCCCAGCTCTGCACATCACTGCCTCTTCCCAGTGAAACTGAAGTGCTGCCGAGAAAAACATTGGCCTGAATTGGGAATGCATAAACCCCAGTGTTGAGCATGGATGAAGGCAAGGGAGGACAACAAAGCCTCAGCCCCTTGGGTTGGAAGGCATCTCAGAGGTCATCCAGTGCCAAACCCCAAATCAGGCACCAGAGCAGGGTACCCAGGGTCCCATCCAGACCAGCCTTGAACGCCTCCAGGAATGGGGCATCCCTGCAGGGGTGAATAAACCCTAAGCTAAATGGAATCAGCCTCTTTGGAGGAGTTGCATCTGCTGTCATGACTGCAGAAGGAGCAAGGAGGTTTCTTACTTGGGCATCTTCAATAAGTTTCTAGCGCCAAGGAAGGCAATGGGAAGGTGAGCACCCAGCTGCAGCAGGAGGGGAACAGAAGTGCCACCGCGTGAGCTGCTCCGTCCCCCTGCACTTCACCCCTGCTCCCTGAAATGAGAACAGGAAAACAGTCAGTAAAGTTAACTAGTGGACGTATTTAAAAGAAATTAGAGGAAATGGACCCACATCCTGTGGAATTCACCCCTGCCAAAGTCTGCAAAGTCGAGTCCTGTGGCCAGATTTAGAAAGGGAGCGGATAATTTAACAGCCAATAACATAGCTGAGCTGCAGTGCCAGTGCACGCCCCGCAGTCCACAATAGTGAGGGTTATGTTTCTGCTTTGAATAGCTAAAAGCGCCTCTGTGACACAGGGCAGGAATGCAAGAGGCATCCCCCTAAATGCCTGCGTTACATTTTCAGACATGCAAATATTAATAGCGTTACAAGTATAGCAGCACAGGCACCCAGGAGACACAGGGCTGGGCAGTCCATGCAAGGCATTAGCAAAGCAGGAATCTGTCACCCCAGCTAAAGCTGCCTACAGTTAAGGTCGAAGCTCATTATCTCGTGCTTCCCCTCTGTCCAACCCCCATCCAAGGGAAGCAAATCAGGAGAACTTTTTGCTGCTGCGTGTTGAGATTGTACCTTCGTGCAACAAAGAGCCCAGGGGTAGACCTGATGGTTGTGACATTGCAGTGGAAAGAATTGGGGGTAATTGTTTCTACTTGCCATCCAAGGGCTGATAGCTGCTCTGCAGTTCATGTGCTGCGGTGTCTGATGGTTTCTGTTAGGGAAATTTTATCCTTTTGTAAGAGTGGTGATGCAGTGGCACAGGCTGTCCAGGGAGGTGGTGGGGTCACCGTCCCTGGAGGTGTTTGAGAACCATGCAGATGTGGCACTGAGGGATGTGGCCAGTGGGCACGGTGGGGTGGGGTTGGACTCAGTGATCTTAGAGGTCTTTTCCAACCTTAATGGTTCTGTGATCCTGTTCTGCAAGTACCACATCTGGTTTCAGAGAACAGCTGGGCTCTAAAGCTCAGAGCAGGGTCATGAGGATGGTCCGTGGCGTGAAGTGGATCCCAAGTGGGGAACAATTGCATAAGCTGGAACTTCCTTGCTTGCAAAATGTCTCAGAAAGTGCTACAGAAAGCGTGCCTGCTGTTTGTCTCTTCCTTTAGGACAGAAAAACCTCTTTAGGTTGGAGTGCTCAGCGTTTGACTTGGAGCTCCTCATTGCAGGGAAGCCTGTGACTTCTACTCTGCATTATTTCTTTTATCAGATGGCTCAGACTAGAAAGAAACTGTATCTACACAATGGGATTTTGGAAAAGTCCAGAGATAACCAGAAAGAAAACCCAATGAGGAACTCAGTAAATCACAGCTGGGAATTTGCCCCAACGTGGGGCCCAGCCGTTGTCTGTTTTGCCCAGAGACATGCAGGAGCATGAGACAGAAGCTGGATCACTAGAACTATTCCTGACAGGTTTCCAGCAGAACCTTTGTGGCTCTGCTTTCAGAATCCAGTCCATGTTGGAGCAGGGAATGAGATTACCTAACCATGGAAAACTTTCCCATTCCCAGAAGCGAAGATCATATAAAATGATGCCATTCAGAATGAGATCTCTTTGCTACAAGTCTGTTCTTTCAATTTTGGACCAGAGGCTTCTCATAGGATTCACTTCCACCCATATCTTGTATGAGGTTTACGTGCAGCTTAAATGACCCGTGTGTTTTAGACAAGCAGACACATATCCACTATCAGTCAAGGACTAATTTGCATGTGCTGGCATGTTCCATGACAGATATCTGGGCTATTTTTATTAGCTGAATGCTCATTAAAGTGAGATCAGAAATCAAAATGTCATCTGCCACTTGATACTGATTACTAACTCTCTTGACATATATTTTCCTCTTAATATATTTCATATGGCTATGAAAAAAATTGCAGTAAATCATTTATGGTGTTGTTTTATAAATTGAACAGCTTTGTTATTTTCGTTTTTCCTAAAGGCCAAGGGAGTCCTTTCAGCAATTTCTCCAGTACTTTTTCCGTGGTTCCCTTCCAAATTGATGACACTTTGCTGGTATCAAGACGTCCAGATGCCTTTTTTCCTACCAAGGATCTTCCTGATGTGACTTCTTGCTCCACAGTGTTGACGCATAAATGAATTCCAAAATTCCCCTGATTTTTACAGCTTACACAGTATTGTAACGTAGTGTCTCATAAATCACACATCACCTCATCTGGCATTTCTGCTTTCTAGAGTTTCGTGGCTTAGGGGACCAAGAATGGCAGCTCAGCAGGATCTGAAAAGACGCTGAGGGGGCCGCTCAGAGCCACACAGAACTGGTTCCCAAAGCAGATTGATGGGGAGCAAGGTGTCTGCTAAGCCTTCTGTCCTGGTGGAGAGAAAATACCACAGGAAACACAGAATCATAGAATCATGGAATGGCCTGGGTTGAAAAGGAGCACAATGCTCATCTAATTTCAACCCCCTGCTGTGTGCAGGGTCACCAACCAGCAGCCCAGGCTGCCCAGAGCCACATCCAGCCTGGCCTTGAATGCCTGCAGGGATGGGGCATCCACAGCCTCCTTGGGCAACATGCATTGGAACTGTCGTTCCAGCAGTACATAGGCTGATAATGCATAGTTAATAAGTATGTGAATAGCTCAAAGCAGAAGAGTGAGAACCATTTAATGATTCTGTGATACTAAACTCCCCATCAGGTTGGTGGTTGGTCTTCCGGGTCTGTGGTGCTCAAAGCCACTGACTTGAAAGGAGCAAAGTGTAAGAGGAGCAAAAGATGATCCTGATCTTCACAGGGCCTCAAAGCGGAAAAGAAAGTTGAAAAGGAGAAGCTAGCTCTAAAAAAACACCAGTAACAAAAACCATTACTGTAGCCTCCGTGGGGAGGTTGTTAGAGTGCAGCCAAACCTACTGTCATTGAAGAAGTGCGGAGCCTTGGGCTAGAAGAAAGCTAAAAGGCAAATAAATACACAATCAGAGTATTTAAATGACATATCCTGAGTGTTCATTCAAGCCAAAGGACTATGCTAGAGTGTCCATGTTAGCCAAGCAATGCCAAGAGAAAATAGACAAGGTATCAAATGAAAACAGGCTGTGGGGGAAATTTTAATATCAGCCAAGGCCTGAAGACAACCAGAAAAATAAGTCCAAACCACAGACGGGAAAGCAACAGACAAAAAGGAGAGGAACCTCATAAAACAAAGGTGGCAAAGGCAACGCCATGGCCCATGGTTGGACATGGACCATATCACGAAAGCCAGAGTGCAGAGGCAGCTTGTGCTTCCTTACAGTCAGCAAATCTGCTGCCAGCAGAGTAGCTCTGTGGAAATGCTCAGAGCTCATACCATGAGTGCTCACCTGTCTCAGTCCACACCAAAATCCTCGTATGGCCAAGAGCTGCCTGCAGGGCTGAGCTGGGCTAGCAGTGATCCTACAGACAACGCGGTGATGGCAGCCCAAGCCCCTTTATGTGTACCATCCCACTGTCACTTACATCAGTACAAGACATCCAACTTAAAACCATCAGTTAAACACCTCCTTTTTACTGCATGTATGCCTCCAGCAATGAAATACAAGAAAAAATGGCCCAAAAGCTGAATCAGAATCAGGAAAAACGTCTGAAGTTTATGACAGTCCTTGTCGTCCTGACCGTGTACAAGAAGCAGAGACCATCTTATTTCTATTCCTCTGACAGCAAGTAATTTTTTCCAAGCGGATGACTTTTAAGGAGCTGTCACAATCCCAAATTTACTCACAGTGTATGATATATAAAACTGGGCAAGCAAATCATTCAAGAACATCAGCCTTGGTCTCAACGGAAAGAGAAGCAAATCCACAATATGTTTTGAGATCCGGTGAGATCAGGAGTAGCCAAAAAAACCACTTTCCTGACAGCTTAGCAAATACATTCTTCCATTTCCAGCTACATTCAGGAGGGGGTTCTGTTTCCCTTTGTGACTTCATTAAGTTAGCATTAAAATTCACTGCCAGTCTTGGGAATGCGGAGCAAAGCCTGCATACGGACTGGGTTTGAAAGGATCACAAGATCAGAGGCATGTGCAGTGTGTTTGAATGAAACCTGCAGCACAAAACCAAAAAATCAACCATCAATGAGATTGCAGTGCTTTTAATGAGCGAGTGGTTGATGGGAGGTGGATCATCACCTGCTCCTCAGTCCCTTGATGCTGAAGATAAGGGCAATGTTGTGTTCAGTTGCTAGGTTTCACTGCACGCTATTTGAGCACAGACCCTGAAGGAAGCAGGTGCAGAGCTGTGGTTTTTCTCCCCAAATCCTCACCCAGCTGGCAAACCATGGCAAGGAATGGTGCAAGGTACCTTCCAGATGATTCTTCTGGAGCCACTGAGTGTTGGATGTGGAAATCAGAATAGCCAAATTCATTTCTTACTGCTTCTGCTCCTGTCTCAGCAGGAAGAAGAGCTGGAATACTGGAGTTTCCATTCCTGAGTAGGTCAAAAACCTCTGCTGATATTCCTGAGCAGTGTCATTTTAAGGGGAAAACCATGCTGATCTGGATCAGCTTAAACTCCTGGATCAATAGTCAGGTCTTCTACTACATGAATCCTGCCAGGTCCCCACAGGACCGGGGAGTTCATGTTGGCTTGGATTTCTACCATTGCATTTTCAGTCATGAATTACAGCTCCTCAGACAGAGAAGAGACAGCAGTGCATCCCGGATGACGTAGTCTAGTCAGGGACCATCCAAACAAACAGGGAATGAGATATGGAAGTGACAGCTCCAAAACACATCAATTTAGATTGACCCAACTGTATCACTTTTCTTCCTGGGGGGGATTTAGAAGAGGCAGAGGGATGTGGAAAAAAATAGTGTTTCATCAAGACACGTTCAGATAGAAAATGTACAGTATTTGTGTATAATTGGCATTATCTATTCAGGCACTTATTCCAGCTCTGAGTTTCAGAAGGGCCTGAAATGCTTCTCACTGCCCACTGAAGACCAATCAAAATGGAAGTCCAGAACTTCAGTTGAGGTGTTTCAAAAATATGAGCCAAGAATCAAAAACACTCCTAGACATCTTCATTATGCTGCAGTCATCTAAACACTAGCCAGAAATTTAGGACTGAGTAGAAGGAGCAAAACTAAAAGAAGGGAGATTTAGGTCAGATGTTTTACTCAGAGTGGTGAGGAATTGGCTGAGGCTGCCCAAAGAGCTGTGGGTGCCCCATACCTGAAGGTGCCAGGTTGGATGGGGCCCTGGGCAGCCTGAGCTGGTGGGTGGGAACCTGCCCATGGCA